ACAGATTTTCTTTTCTTTTTTCTTTTTTTTTATTCTTCGAAAACTGGATGTCATCCATTTTACATCCATCTCTTCCTCTTTTGTCTACTTTGCACCGATTCCCTATGTGAAAGGATAGATTTGCATTCTTTTACATCTCTGTTTTGACTTTTGTAAAACCTGCTGCAGAGCAAGTTGCTCTTTTTACCCTTATGTTAAACAAAAAAATCTAAGCCAGCTTTCAGCATACTGTATGTTTTTCTCTGGGCAATCAGTGTAATGCAGACATCTACAGTAGGATCTTTTGTAATGCCAAAGACACTTCCTCAGGTTGCAAGCAAACATAACAATGAACCTGGATGTAGTTTAATAGATAATGCATAATTTAAATAAGGATATGACATGATTCTAGAGTTGACTCTGGCGCAGACACAACACGAAACTGGAAGCGGTTTAGATAGTTTATTGAAAAGTTTTGACAGAGAGATAGTTTTTGGATCGGCGAAGATTCTCAGGAAACAGCAGCTTAATCAGGAACTGCACAGAGAGAGAGATCAGTTAGATTCGGGCTAGGGAACTGAGTTAACTAGAAAAGATGCAAACTCCTTACAGGTCGATGGAGAGCGGAGCAGATGGAGGGGAGATTGGATGAGCCCACAGAGATTGAGTTTGGCTGAGTGTCGGGTTTCGACTTGAGAGCTCCAGAGGGTGGACAGGCAGGTGAGCAGCGGAGGATGGATCCAGGAGGACTGAGAAGAGAACCGGCTTGGAACTGCAAGGCTTCTAGGGAACAAGGAAGACAAGGAGGTGAGCTTGAGCCAAGACACAGAGTTCACTTTAAGACGAGCTAGCTGGTAAGTTACCACTGCGTGGAAATTAACCGACTGGCGTCCGTCCCAGGAAATCCACTCCTCTAAATACTGCTCCCTGATTGCGTCCAATTGGAACCAGCTGGAGGCTCTTCTGGGCTGGAGACTCTGAGGAGGAAAGGTAAGAGAAACCCTAACACAGCTCAGCACACAATCCTGAGGGCCCAACAGTACCCCCCCCCTCAAGGGACGCCACCTGGCGGACGAGCAGAAGAAGACGCTGAACGGCGCTCAAAGTCAGAGATGAGCGCGGGATCCAGAATGAAGGAGCGCGGAACCCAGGACCGCTGCTCAGGACCATAACCCTCCCAATCAACCAGATATTGGCAACCCCGACCTCGGGGACGGACATCCACAATGCGACGCACAGTGAAGGCAGGGTGGCCGTCAACGATCCGGGCGGGTGGAGGGGGCCTGGATGGAGGGCACAGAGGGCTGGAAGATACTGGCTTGATTTGGGAGACATGAAAGACGGGATGGACGCGAAGGTGAGAAGGGAGCTTCAGGCGGACAGTGGTAGGACTGATGACGGCTTGGACCGAGAAGGGGCCCAGAAACCTGGGAGACAATTTTCGGGAGCACCCCTTAAGAGGAAAGTTCTTAGATGAAAGCCAGACCTTTTGTCCAGGAGAATAAACTGGGGCAGGGACGCGTCTGCGGTCTGCAAACTTCTTGTTCTGGGCAGCCGTGCGGTTGAGGGCTGCTCTGGTCTGGTCCCAGATGCGGCGACAGGCCTCCATGTGGCCCCTTACAGAGGGGATGACAGCGTCTGGAAAAGAAGAGGGGATGAGGGATGGCTGATAGCCAAGAGAAGCTTCAAACGGAGAAAACCCAGAGGCAGCGGAGATGTGACTGTTGTGGGCATATTCAACCCAAGGCAAATGTGTGCTCCAGGAGGAGGGGTTGTTGGCGCAAACGCAACGTAGTGCGTTTTCTAGTTCTTGGTTCAGCCTTTCACATTGGCCATTGGTTTGGGGATAAAACCCTGACGAGAGACTAGATTTGGCTCCCAGGATAGAGCAAAAGTCCCTCCAGACACGAGAAATAAATTGAGGACCTCGGTCTGATAGAATCTCTGAGGGGATGCCGTGAAGTTTAAATACATGAGAAAATAGGAGCGAGCGGTTTCAGCAGCAGAAGGAAGCTTGTTAAGAGGAATTAGGTGGCAGGCTTTGGAAAATCTGTCTATGACTGTCAGGATGACTGTCTTATTTTTAGAGATAGGAAGACCAGTGACAAAATCTAGTGCTATATGTGACCAGGGCCGACTAGGGACTGAGAGGGGCTGCAGGAGACCAGCTGGAGGGCGGTGAAGATTTTTTCCACGTGCACATGTGGAACAGGCTGAGACAAACTCTAACACATCCTTGTTGAGGGAAGGCCACCAGAAATAGCGGCGGAGCAAACCAATGGTACGGCTAGCCCCTGGGTGACAGGAGAACTTAGAAGAATGAGCCCATTGGATGGCCTGAGAACGGGTTCTGGCCGGAACATAGAGGCGGTTTGGAGGTCCCCCCCCAGGATCGGGCTCTGCCTTCAAGGCTGCTTCAATGGCCCTCTCCAGATTCCAGGATAGCCCCCCTACCACGCAGGATGGTGGAAGGATCGGTTCAGGGGTTTTAGAGAAATCATCTGAGGCAAACTGTCTGGACAGGGCATCAGGCTTAATATTGCGTGACCCAGGACGATAGGAGATATTTAGGTTGAATCTAGAAAAGAACAAAGTCCAGCGGGACTGCCGGGAGTTAAGCCTCTTAGCGTTCTGGAGGTAGGACAAATTCTTATGGTCAGTCCAAACGACCACTGGGAGTTCTGAGCCTTCTAGCCAGTGTCTCCACTCTTCAAGAGAGAGTTTGATGGCTAGGAGCTCTCTGTCTCCAATGTTATAATTTCTTTCAGAGGGAGAGAATCTTTTAGAAAAGAAGGCGCATGGATGGAGCTTACCATCTGCTGGGGACCGCTGGGAGAGTACAGCCCCAACACCAGTATCTGATGCATCTACCTCCATGATGAATTGAGCCGAGGGATCAGGATGAATAAGAATGGGTGCCTTAGAGAATTGGGTCTTGAGCTCAGAGAAGGCTTTCTCAGCTTCAAGGGTCCAGATGAAGGGTCTCTTGGTGGAGGTTAGGGCGGAGAGGGGAGCGGCGATGACGCTGAAGTTTCGTATGAACCTCCTGTAGAAGTTGGCAAATCCAAGAAACTGCTGGAGCTGCTTTCTGGTTTCAGGGGTTGGCCAGTCCAACACTGCCTTGATCTTGGCTGGATCCGTCTTCACCTGTCCACCCTCAAAAACAAAACCAAGAAAAGAGATTGAAGGAACATGAAATTCACACTTTTCGGCCTTAACATACAGGCGATTCTCTAGCAAACGGTGGAGAACCTGTCTGACGTGGGTCTTGTGTTCCTCCAAATCTCTGGAAAAGATCAGGATGTCGTCTATGTAGACAAAAACGAAGATGTTTAGAAAGTCCCTCAGGACATCGTTTACGAGGGCCTGAAAAACTGCTGGGGCATTAGAAAGACCAAAAGGCATGACCAGATATTCAAAATGACCGATGTGAGTCTTGAAAGCGGTTTTCCACTCGTCCCCCTCCCGAATACGGACCAGGTGGTAGGCATTTCGGAGGTCGAGTTTAGTGAAAATGGTGGCTTGGCTTACGGGTTCAAAGGCGGCGGATATGAGAGGAAGAGAGTATTTGTTTTTGATGGTGATCTGATTTAGTTCCCGATAATCAATGCAAGGGCGGAGAGTCTTATCTTTTTTCTCAACAAAGAAGAATCCAGCCCCAACTGGAGATGAGGAGGGACGGATGATACCTGCTTCAAGAGAACTGTTAATATAGTTCTCCATGGCCTGACGTTCAGGTCTGGATAAGTTGTATAGTCGGCCTGAGGGAAGAGGGGCGCCAGGAAGAAGATTGATGGCACAATCATATGGTCGATGAGGAGGCAAGGAGAGGGCTAATTCTTTACTGAAGACGCGTTGTAGATCATGATAATCTGGTGGAACTTTAGAGAGGTCAGCTGGAGGTTGCTGGGGATTGGACACAGAACTCTGAGGAGGGAGTGCTGAGCGGAGACAGCTATTAGAGCACTCAGGACTCCAGGACTCAATGCGGGATAGAGGCCAGTTTATTTGGGGATTATGTCTGATTAGCCAGGGGTAGCCCAAAACCACTGGGGAATTCTTAGTGGGAAAAACCAAAAATGAAATCTGCTCGTGATGGTTGCCTAAGGACACAAACTGAAGAGGGACAGTCTGATGAGTAATGGTCTTGAGAGCGCTGCCATCTAAGGCTGACACAAAAATAGGAGTTGGGAGTCTTTGAACTGGAATCTTATATTGGTGAACGAGATCAGGACTGATGAGATTCTGTTCAGAACCGCAATCCACTAGGGAGAGCACGGGGAGGCTTTTATGGTCTAGGCAGATGGATGAGTGAAAAGTTAAGCGGAGGTTGTCTTGAATCATGGTTTTGCCCGCCAGTACCCCCAGATTTACTGACGGGCAAAGGCTTTTGGGCGAACCGGACAGGTGGAAATAAAGTGACCAGAGTGGCCACAATACAAACAACACCCTGAAGACAACCGCCGTTGGCGTTCTTCAGGTGAGAGCCGAGCTCTGCCAATCTGCATTGGTTCAGGAGAAGGTGGCCGAGGCTGAGACTGAGGGCTAGGAGTCATAGCAAAAGCTTGGTGCGGGGAGGCTATATTTCTCTGACGGTTCCTTTCTCTGAGCCTATTGTCAATTCGGATGGCTAGATTAATTAACTGGTCCAAGGTTTCTGGTTCCTCTCGGCAGGCTAATTCATCCTTAAGCTTTTCACTAAGGGAATGTTGAAACGCCCCCTTGAGGGCTGTCTCGTTCCAACCTGAGTCGGCGGCTAGAGTGCGAAACTCAATTGCCAATTCGGCAGCCGACTTGTTTCCCTGTTTCAGAGTCCATAATTTTTTGGCTGCTTCTTCCTCCCCAACATGCAGGCAAAATGTTTGTTTGAATAAATCCAAAAATTCTCTGAAGGAGTATTCATCAATGTTAGATTCATCAATTATTGCTTCTGCCCACCTTAAAGCCTTGTCTCTGAGCAGGCCGATGACGTAGGAGATCTTGTTGGCGTCATCCGGAAATGACAGCGGAGACCGCCCGAACACTAGGGAGCACTGTAGCAGGAATCCTTTGCTCTTGTTCAGGTCGCCGCTGAATGGCTCCGGGGTGGGCAAAACAACGTCTCTAGGCATGGGAGACCTGGAAGAAGCTGCAGAGCCAACAGGTAAGTACGATTTCGGAGGAGAAGGAGACGGTAATTTAGAGCTTAATTCCTGTACTTGGAGTGACAGTTGGCTAAGGGTTTGTATGAGTGAGGTTTGTTGCTGAGCAATAGTAGAGATAGCCGAATCGTGCCGGCCGAGGAGAACTCCCTGTTCAGATAGAGCGGTTCGTAGTTGTGCTGCAGAGTCTTGCTGTCCAGTCGGTTCTGACATGATTCTAGAGTTGACTCTGGCGCAGACACAACACGAAACTGGAAGCGGTTTAGATAGTTTATTGAAAAGTTTTGACTGAGAGATAGTTTTTGGATCGGCGAAGATTCTCAGGAAACAGCAGCTTAATCAGGAACTGCACAGAGAGAGAGATCAGTTAGATTCGGGCTAGGGAACTGAGTTAACTAGAAAAGATGCAAACTCCTTACAGGTCGATGGAGAGCGGAGCAGATGGAGGGGAGATTGGATGAGCCCACAGAGATTGAGTTTGGCTGAGTGTCGGGTTTCGACTTGAGAGCTCCAGAGGGTGGACAGGCAGGTGAGCAGCGGAGGATGGATCCAGGAGGACTGAGAAGAGAACCGGCTTGGAACTGCAAGGCTTCTAGGGAACAAGGAAGACAAGGAGGTGAGCTTGAGCCAAGACACAGAGTTCACTTTAAGACGAGCTAGCTGGTAAGTTACCACTGCGTGGAAATTACCCGACTGGCGTCCGTCCCAGGAAATCCACTCCTCTAAATACTGCTCCCTGATTGCGTCCAATTGGAACCAGCTGGAGGCTCTTCTGGGCTGGAGACTCTGAGGAGGAAAGGTAAGAGAAACCCTAACACAGCTCAGCACACAATCCTGAGGGCCCAACAGGATAAGGTCTGTTCATACTTAGAAATACTGTTCAATGTTTTTCACTGGGTGCTGGTTTGCATAGAGACTTGGATAAGAGACACACAAAATCAAGTTTGTTCAGTTTTAGAACCATAAAAGCAGTGGGCTGCCATTGTGCGGCGCCCGAGGAGCAGTGTGGAGTTAAGGGATGAGGGAGCTAAGGGGGCCAGGGCTGCTGAGCAAGACATTTTAAATATATATATATATATATATATATATATATATATATATATATATATATATATATATATATATATATACATACATACATATATACATATAGCTGATATATATATATATATATATATATATATATATATATATATATATATACAGGTGCTGGTCATAAAATTAGAATATCATGAAAAAGTAGATTGATTTCAGTAATTCCATTTAAAAAGTGAAACTTGTATATTATATTCATACATTACATACAAACTCATATATTTCAGGTGTTTATTTTGTTTAATTTTGATGATTACAAATGACAACAAATGAAAATCTCAAATTCATCATATCAGAAAATTAGAATATTGTGAAAAGGTTCAAAATTGATGGCCCCTGGTGCCACACTCTAATCAGCTAATTAACTCAAACCACCTGCAAAAGCCTTTAAATGGTCTTTCAGTCTAGTTCTATAGGCTACACAATCATGGGGAAGACTGCTGACTTGACAGTTGTCCAAAAGACGATCATCGACACCTTGCACAAGGAGGGCAAGACACAAAAGGTCATCGCTAAAGAGGCTGGCTGTTCACAGAGCTCAGTGTCCAAGCACATTAATAGAGAGGCGAAGGGAAGGAAAAGATGTGGTCGAAAAAAGTGTACAAGCAAGAGAGATAACCGCACCCTGGAGAGGATTGTGAAACAAAACCCATTCAAAAATGTGGGGGAGATTCACAAAGAGTGGACTGCAGCTGGAGTGAGTGCTTCAAGAACCACCACACACAGACGTATGAAAGACATGGGTTTCTGCTGTCGCATTTCCTTGTGTCAAGCCACTCTTGAACCACAGACAGCGTCAGAAGCGTCTTGCCTGGGCTAAAGAGAAACAGGACTGGACTGCTGGTGAGTGGTCCAAAGTCATGTTCTCTGATGAAAGTAAATTTTGCATTTCCTTTGGAAATCAAGGTCCCAGAGTCTGGAGGAAAAGAAGAGAGGCACTTCATCCACGTTGCTTGAAGTCCAGTGTAAAGTTTCCACAGTCAGTGATGGTTTGGGGTGCCATGTCATCTGCTGGTGTTGGTCCATTGTGTTTTCTGAGGTCCAGGGTCAACACAGCCACATACCAGGAAGTTTTAGAGCACTTCATGCTTCCTGCAGCTGACCAACTTTTTGGAGATGCAGATTTCATTTTCCAACAGGACTTGGCACCTGCACACAGTGCCAAAGCTACCAGTACCTGGTTGAAGGACCATGGTATCCCTGTTCTTAATTGGCCAGCAAACTCTCCTGACCTTAACCCCATAGAAAATCTATGGGGTATTGTGAAGAAGAAGATGCAATACACCAGACCCAACAATTCAGAAGAGCTAAAAGCCACTATTAGAGCAACCTGGGCTATCACAACACCTGAGCAGTGCCACAGACTGATCGACTCCATGCCACGCCGCATTGCTGCAGTAATACAGGCCAAAGGAGGCCCAACTAAATACTGAGTGCTGTACATGCTCATACTTTTCATGTTCATACTTTTCAGTTGGCCAACATTTCTATAAATCCTTTGTTTTTATTGGTCTTCAGTAATATTCTAATTTTCTGATATGATGAATTTGAGATTTTCATTTGTGGTCATTTGTAATCATCAAAATTAAACAAAATAAACATCTGAAATATATGAGTTTGTATGTAATGTATGAATATAATATACAAGTTTCACTTTTTAAATGGAATTACTGAAATCAATCTACTTTTTCATGATATTCTAATTTTATGACCAGCACCTGTATATATATATGAGCTAGTTCTCCGTCAACTACATTAACATAGCCCTAGATGTCATCTCTTCAAGACTGTTTGCACATCAACGATTAATGGAGATGGTGGGAAACCACGCATATGAAACAAAACATAAATATACTGCTCACTACATTTCTCCTGCTTTTCTTGTTATCTTATCAACACACCACAAGCGTTCTACATTATCTAGAATTGTTCGTCAAAAACTTTAGATTATCTATAATTTATCAGCCTCTATTTCAGCATTTCTGTTAAGGAGAAAAAGAAAAATCAAATTTCCATCAGCTCATTAGCAGCAACAGCAGATCCAGTTGTCGGGATTTTATGTACAGGCAGCTGCACAGCACCATCTGCTGCGGCATTCTGTGTGCATATACTTCATAAAGCATCGTCATCAGCTATAACTAAATCCAAAACAGATCCCCAATCGTCAGTCAAATACAGGCTTTAAATTTGGAAGTTGGTATCAAGGAGTTTTGTAGCAACTACATAAAATTTGTATTGTTAATCTTTTTAGTTAGCACTGACACTTTATAACTCCCAATCCTCCTTGTTATTCTCCCTTTTTAAGAATCAGGAAATCAGGGTTGCTCTAACATTGCGACAAATACATTTTCTCTCAGCACCAGCCTATTTGCACAATTTGAAGGTATGTGAATTTTTCTCCTGCTAGTTCTAAAATAGAATAGAATAGAATAGAATAGAATAGAATAGAATAGAATAGAATAGAATAGAAAATCCCTTTATCGTGCAACAATGGGGAAATTGTGGTTTTAAAGCAGAAAAAGGTTATATTTGATGTGGTCACACAATGTGGACCTTAGAAAAGTGTATAAAAAATAACAGTTAAGAAAATAAACCAAATAAGGTATTGTACTGTACAATGTTTTTACAATATAGATACTCTGTATCTAGAGAGTAAAAAACTCAATAACAGCTGTGGACATATTAACATTTAAGTGTAAAGTAGCAGCAACACCAGAGATGTGCAAAAAATGACAGCAGCATGTTATTTAACTGACTATGGTAGAAACTGTGCAAAATCAGAATGAATGTAACAACTTATTGAGCTTGTTGGGAGCAATGGTGGTTATAAAGTCTTTCAGCTGCTGAGAGGAAGGATGTGTGATAACGCTCCCTGGTGCATTTAGGGTGCAGCAGTCTGTCACTGTAGGAGCTCTCCAGTTCTGCAACAGCTTCATGCATGGGGTTGGAGACATTTGCAGAGATGTTATTTTAGTTAGGATCCTTTTGTTTCCCACCTTCAGCAATGCGTCCAGAGGGCTATCCATTGGTAACGTAAGCTCGTCCGAATCTTCATGTACAGGTGGAGATGTATTTACTGGTTTGAAGGTTTTACTTGTTTTTTCTGCTTAGAGAGATCCATTTAGCAACAGTCAAATAAATGTTAGAAGGCAATGTCCATGGCTGTTGCCCTTATATCACTTGAACTGTTTTCACCTCATTAAAGAGGTGAAAATGTTTCTGTCTTGAGATTAAGCCAGCACAGCCAGACCACCTTTAGAATGTCTGAGCTGCCTCTACAGACATCACACTCCTTCCCCCATGGACAAAGATATGCAGCCTCTACAATTCTAAAGCCACGCAGCACCGCTACAGAAATGCAGGCTCAAAGCAGACACCTCTAATTCTCTACCCTTGTAATGGAGCATCTAAGAATATAGGTCCAAATCTCTGTCTTTCTACACTCTGACTTCTTCCTCATATTAAAAAAAACACAAACTCAGTAACTAAGAAGTAATATAATCATATATTTGCTGTTGAAATCAAATTATTTCAAACCTTAAAGGGGTCATAGAATGATTATATATGGTATTTGGTGCTGGTCCTTAAGGTCTCTGAATAGGGTGTGTAACATTAGTTGGGCTGAAAATGGCATATTTGCTGTTCTATGAGCCCTAATGCAAGCCTGGTTATAAGCCCCAGAATGAAATGACAGGTTTTCTTCCTTTTATGGTATGCTCATGAATATTTAGATGAGCTGTGCGCTGAGTGGCTGGTTTACAACGAGCAAAGCCGTTGAGCAAAGACGCATCATAGCAACAAGCACTCACTCACTGAAACATCAAATTGTTGATATGGCAGGGTGACCAGATGTTCTCTTTTTCCCTGACATGTCCCTCTTTTCATACCTTAGAAAATGTCTGGGGGAAATTTCAAAATCATCTGGAATTTTGGTCGACTACAGTGCAGCAGACTGAGCAATGAGCTCTGGGGCTTGTCCGGGAACGGAGCGACCGAACCCGACCATTGCACACCAGCGGCCCCGTGCTTCCTTCCACCTGCCTTACCGGGTAGGCAGGGGGAAGCACGGTAAGGCAGGCAAGGGGAAGTATACCGTCACTGGGTCTGGTTCGGACTAACCTCAGAGCTGATGGCTTGGTTCGAAAGCCCAGTCCGATCCAGTCATCAGCCGAGCAGCGAAAGAATCCTTCTTACAGCTTGCAGTTGTGATGGCCTTAGAGTTGGAACAGCCCCTCGTTTCAGTTAAAGAAGTTTAGCAAATCCTGCTTTGAACTGTCCAAGATTTTGAAAGCTGTCTTTGGTAAAATGCTTAGAGCAAATGAACAGCTGAGCATCAAACTTTGCAGGGATCTTCTGATACACAAGAATAATCCATGCCTGTCTTCAGTTCCTTGGGAAGACTGTGAAAACCAGCCTGGAACAATGCATTTACGCCTGTGGTTCTGGCTCATTTTCAATAGAGAAACTGCCTGCTTTGTAGTTCTTGTAGAAGTAAACCCAACTGTTGGCCAAAAAGCTTAACTGGTGTCTTACATCTACCTCTATCCATGTTCTTGGGCCGTGAACCAGTGGGCTGGTCTGCATCTCAATTTCGGGGCGTGACAAAAGTACAGGCCAAAACCAAATAAGGCAACATCCCCGAATTGATGTCAATTCGTGGCTTTCACTCGTTTTATGTTGCAAGTTTAAAATTGTGAGATTTGCTGAAAAAGGAGGTGTCGATGGGGTTTGAACTTCTCTGTATGTCCATTTCACCCATTTAACTATTGTTATTCATCTATGACAATGTAAACTCGGTTTTGCATTTTATGACCCCTTTAAAAATGGATAATAGTGACAAATTTAATATATGATTAAAAAACAGCATCAGAAAGCATCTAAAATACTAAATGTAGTTGATTTGTATTGCACAATGTGCCTTTAAAATGCTGTTGACATTATGCATTGCATCACAGCAGATGTTCATGGATACATACATTAGTGTTCTTTCTGCTTTATGCTTAATTCATGTTTGTTCAAGTGACCAAACATGTCAGACAAACCAGAGAACGCATTGCATAATAGACTGCAGGTTAGTGTTATGGCAACAGGACAGCCAAGGTCATACATTTTAGATGTTTATAGCTTACTCAGTTTTTAAAGAGCTTGAATACTTTAGGTACAAATATATAGATTGTTTCCTTTTTGAAACACAAAGAATTTGGATAACTGTGTGATTGTTTGGTTGATTTCTCTGTCTAAAATCGTCCTGCGCATTATAGCAGGGTCTGTTTGCTCATTGCTGTGGGGGTTTAAAGAAACAAGTGGCGAGACAAAAAAGTGAGAGACCGTGATGTGTGCACCAATGTTCAGTGAAGAGAAAGCCCAGCTGTGTCATATGAACAACAGGGACGAGGTTATGTTTTCCTTTTTTATTATAGACCGGAGCAACTCTTTATTAAATCTCACACCACACCCGACACAAACTCATACACAGAGATTCTGGCATGTTGGTGTTGTTTAATATAATAATGGGAGTGGGAGACCAAAGAAAATAAAACAGAAACAGGTTGATACCTATGGGTAGAATGTGACTAAACGGCGATAATTTGGAAAGGTGTTGAAGATGAACAATAAAACAATAATACATGGTCACTGAAGAAGTAAGCAGGTGATCATATGATTAGCTGAAAGAATCAAAGGTGGATAATCCAGGTCCAGAAAATAAAAACCCTGCCTTGTTTTCCTTCATCCTGTTCACTTAATGAGGTTATTAGTCAGTGTGTGGAGCACTGATCTCTATCTATTCACTGGATCGCTGATAGCCAGAAAAAAGCGGACACTTGCCGCCATCATGGTACTCCCCATTCTCACTGAGGCACCAAAAAAATGCCTACGTGTTTAGCATTTGGCTGCAAAACAAGCAGTTTGCCACCTCTTGGGAGACGTTTCACTGATTATTTTAAAGTCAGTGGATATACTAACTGAGAAACTCCATATATACGCTGATGTATCATATAGTATAGCATATAGCGTAACAGTAGTCTGGCTATCTCGGACCGTTTTAAAGACACTGACTGTGTCTAACGTTAGAAAATAGAAAGTAGACTAAATAGAAAGTAATTTTCTTCGAAATGGCAATGTAGTAATTTTTGATTCAATGGATGATGCTGTTGTTTTTGTAGTGTATATATATATATATATATATATATATATATATATATAAATATATATATATATATTTATATGTGTATATTTCAATGTTATATAATTAAAGATATTCAACTACTGGATAGTGTATATGTGTGTTGGTGTATACTAATTATTAGACTCTTGTTGTAACTATGAGCAAAAAGCAAAATATGAATTTTTATTTTGCCTGTTATTTTGCCAATTTATGTGATTTTGCTATTGTAGAAACTGAAGATCTGTTTAGTTATTAAATGGGTTTATTAATTTAGCTGTATTTTAGATCTATATAATATTTAAAGTCTAATGCACACAGTATTAAAGTAAATGGCATCATGCATACACAATTTGAAAATAGAAAAATACTATAGCATTAACAGACATCTACTTGTAATTCAATCTTGATGTAAAATCTTGAAATTATATGTAATTACCACAGCAATGTCATAACATTACATGTATATTACATGTACATCATCAATTTAGCCCTTTTGCCACATCTGTATTAATGTGCTCCATTAACACATTGATTTTGTTGGGATGGATTTTTACAATATAATATATATCATGATTTATAGACTTCATTGACTTCATATAAGTGGAAGTGCGTGTCAAAGTAATGTATTTATCTATATTTTAAAGCTCCTAAGCCCTCCTGAAAATGAGAACTTCATCGTGGTTTAATGCTGTAGCACACGTATTGTTTACATTGCAACTGCTCTAACAAGGGGTACCAATATGGCGGCCGGTGACTAAACTCCACCCTATACTACCAATGAGCTATCAGCAATCCGGTGAATAAATAGAGATCAGTGGTGTGGAGCTCGAAATGCAGATAGTTGGAACTGATCTCTGTATAGGCTTTTCACTTTCTGGACCTGGATTATTCACCTCTGGAGAGCAGTGTGTGTTAGTCTGCAGCAATGCTGCAGGAGATAGAGAATTCTGGATGTTCTACTACGCTGGGATTGGAAAAGGTTACAGTTTTGTGGAAAATAATTCCTCAGTGAAAATCATAAAATGTAAAGGTCGACAAATGGTAAAATGGCATTTGGATTCTGCAAATCTCAGAAAACGGGCCACATGCTGTTCATGTTAAAGTAAATAGGCTCATTAATAATAGTCATCGGGTTTTATTTAACAACTTTTTACAATTGAGATTGATGCCCACGCTTCCCGTCTCATTCGTGTCCAACATCCATCTGTTTCCAGAGAGCTGATGTTATCTCCATCCTGATTGATGACTGCATAGTTTTAGCTTTCTATGTTGATTTGAAAATCTAGTTTCATAACCTTTTTTAATGAACTGATAAAAGGAAACCTCTTTGTACTTTCTAAACAATTCTCTTTCAATTAAGCTTGAAGGTATTCAACGTTTTTTGTTTCTGTTGCTTTAAAAGGGAAACTCTTTAACTATGACATATCCTGTTAGGCTGCAGCTGTAAAATTTTAAGGAGTCGTGTCAAAAAAAATTTTTTCTTTAAAACGTACCTCGTTTCTAATCCTGTAACCACAACAGGAAATCACCCAGCTGCTCTCGAACACAAACAGTTTAGATGAGGATGGACTTCATTTATTTAGATAGCTCCTTTTTGGTATTTGCTTTTTTACAACCGGAGGGAAGGACAAGTTATTTGCCGCCCTCACTCTGTGTCCTCCTCTTCTTTCACCTCCCATTTCCTTTATATTAAATCAATAACAGAGGCATTCAGATCCTAACGCACAGCTTTGCCCACTCAGGGGATTTTCTGTGCAGGTTTCAACTCTACATTTACTTGCTGGTTGTATTAATGAAACATGTCAGGTTGCGTTCCTTTAAAGACACAGCAGAGAACTTTGGGAAAGACCCCCCTTAAGAGACACTGAGGTATGTCAACAAGTGATGATCCTGGTTAATACAGAGAATGAGGGTGGGCCAGAGGTCTCGAAGTTTTCAAAGGGAGGAGGAGGGAGAAAACTTTAGAGTCTTCTTGCTATTCATATAATCAGAAAAGCCCTACTGTTGGGGAGGAAATTATGCCATGCTTCATTCACAACTATTACTAAAGTCCTAGGGCAGTCTTTGAAAACTAGAACAACAGCATGTACCTCTCCTAGCACCAGAACCACGTGCAGGCAGTGTAGAAGCTGTGCACAGATCAGTGTAAACATAAATATTTCTGATAAAACGTAAGATTTTGACTTAGGCTTTGAGTGTGTATAGACTGAAGTTCACTAGGCTACACAGAGGAGGCATTTTCCAGTTTACCTCTACCTACCTTTTGTGTTTTGCTTTATTAAAGTAAAGATTTCAAAATAAAATATGACAAAAAAAACTTGATGCATGGTGCTGCTAAAAGGTAATGTGTGACAGAAACTCAAAGATTTCCATGTAAGAAGAAGAATTTAAGATCTTTAAAAGTCTTCCTGGTTTTGGTTTTGTCTTTTCCGATGCCAATTTAACAGAAATGGGTTGATAGACGGACAGACGGACGGATCTGGGATATACCAATATTTTTTTTCCCATAAATCTGCTTTCTTTCTCAATACTCACCCAAACTTGAGAAAACTAATACCAAATTCCTTAAATTTCCTGACTTTATATCAAAGCTCCATTTGCTAGGAGAACACATTCATATTCCACATATTGTACAGGTTGATCAGGAGCTCAAAAACGACAGAGAATAAAAGCAACTAGATTGCATTCAATTTCTTTGACTTACAATCCAGTCAGTTGATAAATGTCCGCTTTTATCCAGCATGGCCTTGGTATAGACTGTCTATTTGAATTATCAACACTCTCTTCTTAAGACTGAGGAAATCTGTTGACAATTGTGAGAACTTCACCTTCAAATGTTCTGACTCATCCTCTGACAAAAAGAAAAAAAAATGTTTCAGAAAAAGCCAGACTCCTTTGCGTCATCAACAAATAGAAGGATGATAGAAAAAAGTAGCTATGATGTCAAAAGTTACAGAAGTGAATTTTGAACCCAAGTGATTAAAACCTGATCTTGTATACATGGATCATTACAATTTGATTTAATCCCTTTTATGTATTAAATAAATGTAATAATCAAATTTAAAGTAGTGACATGATTCTTATGCTGCTTTTAAGATTTAGATTTTTTGGTTTACATTAAAAAAAGACTTACTTTTGGAAGACATCCATAGAGCAGCAGCAGAAAAAGCATCTGAAAAGAATCCATCCTCTCCTCGTTTCTTTGTCCCCAGTTTCAGCAAAGGACGGCTGGTGGGAAGTTTTCTCAGTCTTGTACAGTTCAGGTGAATTCTTCTCTGTAAAACTACTCAGACATGTGGTGTGCCGTATGTGGTAAAAGGTTGCAGCCGCTCCATCAGACTGCGCTCCTGTTTGTGCGCCTCTCCAGCAAAAGGAGAGCTGCATCTACTCCACAGCACCCTCCCATTCCCTCCCCTCACCCATTCACAACTCCACAGCGCTGGTCCCAGCAGGCTGTTAACAAGGCTGTCAGCTCGCTGCCTGTTGTTGGAGGACTGTGTCAGTCCAAGAGCCTCGTAATTAATTCCTGTGTAATCCCTAATATTGCATTTAATCTTCTCCAAACAAACTGGGGCTGAAGGCAGCCTGACATGCCTGATGAAAGATGATTTTATCAGGTGGAGCATTGCTATTTGGTGAATTAAAAATGAACTGGGTGCAATTCCCCTGGGTTATTTGGTGGTTATCTTTGTTGGGTTGCTTTTACTAGACATTAGTTAAAATAAGGCAAAAAAAAACAACATTTTATTTTATAAAACCAGATATATCAAGAACTAAAACAAACTGACTCAGGAAGAGAGAATAAAGATATATAGATAAGACAGATACAGATTTGAATGACTGAATTCCCTGTTTTGCTACAGTACTGTATATAAAGAGAAAAGACTAAAGAATCTGCCCAAATTAGTTTAGATTTTACCTGACTTGTGATTATTTTTTACTGGTTCGTTTCAATGATGGGAAATTTGTGGAAAACACAAGAGGGAGCACACTGAACAAATTAAGAAAGACCATAAAGAAAAAAAACAGGTCCAGGCCTTTCCCACCCTTTTTTATCCTTCTCTGCTGTTTTTCTATTTGCAACTGGGACAGAATTACACTGGGTATGTGATCCTATTTCTGATCAGTCGCTCATGGTAGTTTGTTTTGCTGTCCATAATAACAGGTATACTGTTAATCTGTCGTTCATTTGCATAATATTTTGGGGAAAATAACACCTTGAAAAAAGGTGGAGGTTGATAACAAATCATTCTTCCTACATTTGTGACCAATTGAAAAGAAGTCCCAGATAGTTGAGCCAGACAAGAAGAGCAAGGATAGACTGGAGGAGGGCTAAAGAGGTCCTAAGGGAAGAAATAGAATCATCGTTTAAAAAAAACAACAACAAACAAACACAAAAAAAGGTCCAGAACTAGCCAAGGCCAAACTGAGAAATTCAAACATCAAGCAAACAAGGAACACTGGACTGCTTCTCAATGGCTTTTGACAGTCTGGTCCTGACTGGCTGTAACAGTTAGGCAGCAGAACAGGTTTCAAGGAATGAGCGGATTGAGTTGCTATGATCAGCTTGAAATTTTCTATTTTGATGAATATAAATTAAACTAATGAAAACCCCAAAATTCAGCATCTCAGAAAATTGCAAAATTATAAAAAGGTCTGGCAAGACACCTGGTGCCACACTCTAATCAGCTAATTAATTAACTCAAAACACCTGCAAAGGCCTTCGAAGGGCCTCTCAGTCTAGCTCTGTATTTTACACAAGCATGAGGAAGACTACTGATTTGACAGATGTCCAAAAGACGACTGCTGACAAGACTGGCAAGACATGGAAGGTATTGCTATAGAGGCTGGCTGTTGACAGACCTCTATGCCCCAGCACATCAATAGAGAGGCATGAGAAAAAAACTGTACCACTAATAATGACGGCTGCACCCTGGAGAGGATTGTAAAACTAGACCCATTTAAAAATATGGGGAAGATTTACAAAGAGTGGACTGCAGCTGTACAGTTCTCTTAGCTGTCCTTATCACTTTCAGGTATTCTGATAGAGCCTGTGATTCTGTTTAATTCCCACTATCCAACAAGAAAAATTACTGGTAGGAAATCATAAACACAGACTACATCAGTTATGGGATAACTACTTTGTCAATGTTCTGGTCCTTCTCCCTGTGACTTTGATGTCTTGAGGTTTTTTCAACCAACTATTGGGCATTTAAATTTTTTTTTTTCCGTAAATTTCATTGTCATGTGGATAAAATCATTTTCTTACTAAGAGGAAAAGATAAAAAAAAAAATAAATAAATAAAAATAAAAAAAAATATTCCTGAATAGAACACTTATTTAATTTAGTTAGTCTCCTAGAATTAAACATTTCTCTAAACTTAGTCCATGGTGTTAAAATCAAAATCCCCAAAATTCCAGAAGCTTAAAGCTAGTCTACTTTATTGGCCCACATTAAAAACCCTAGCTGTAGATTTGAGGTGATAGGATTTATTTGGATGCAATCTCTGTCAATTATTTTAACCATTTTGTGAAATATGCCCACACATTTTATAACTACACTCCTTATCACAATCTTAAGACCAGTTAAAAAATTGCAAGAATTTGCATTTTGCACTATTGGATTTAAAGAAGGTTCTAAGTAGAGCTTCACAATGTTAAAAGAAGAAATCAGCGTAAGAGACAAAAACTTTTGAGCGGGGAATTAATTGAAAACTGCATTTACACTTAAAAACATGATTTTTTCAGCTGCTCAAAAGTTTAAGACCATAGCTCAAAAAAACCCGAAAACCCCCCAAAACGGAATTCAAAGTGTCAAAAAAAGGGCTCAGTAATGAGTAGCTCCACCATTCTTGTTGATGACTTCAAACAATCGTTTAGGCATGCTTGATGGTAGTGTTTCAAGGAGGCTAGTGGGAACGTTTCTCCAAGTGATGAAGATGGCTTCACGAAGGGCATCCACTGTCTGGAACTGATGTCTATTTTTGTAAACTTCCCTTGCCATCCATCCCCAAATGTTCTCAAATGGGTTTAGATCCAGGGATCCATCCAAATGAGTGAAGTTACTCTCTTGGAAGAATTCCTTTGTCAGGTGGGCATTGTCCTGTTGAAAAACTCAATCATTACCACACAGTCGAGGGCCCTCAGTCATGAGGGATGCCCGCTGCAACATCTCCACATAGCCAACTGCTGTTTGATGCCCCTGCACAACCTGAAGCTCCGTTGCTGCTCCATTGAAGGAAAACGCACCCCAAATCTTGATGGCGCCCCCACCACTTTGCCGTGTAGAAAACATCTCAGATGGGATCTCCTTGTCATGCCAGTAACGTTGGAAGCCATCAGGACCATCAAGGTTAATTTTTTTCTCATCAGAGAAGACAACTTTCTTCCACCTTTCAATGTCCCATGTTTGGTGCACCCTTGCAAAGTCCAAACGGGCAATTTTGTGGCATTGAAGAAGACGTGGCCTTTGAAGACGTTTTTTGTTTCTGAAGCTCTTCTCTTGCAGATGCCGTCTGATGGTTATTGGGCTGCAGTCAGCACAAGTAATGGCCTTAATTTGGGTAGAGGATCGTCCTGTGTCAGAGCTGGTGTAATTTTTTTGGGTGTACCACTTGAATTTTTTGTTCCATAACCCTCAGGATCATTTAAAAAATGTAAAATGAATGTCTTACTGTCCAACCTCAGCAGCGATCGCACGTTGTGAGAGGCCTTGCTTATGCAGCTCAACAATACTACCACATTCAAAGTCAGTGAGCTTTTTTGCTTTTGCCATCAGGAGGTCTTGACAGTGTAAAGCCTTGACAGAAAATGACATGGAATCCAGATTTTTGCACAGCTTTTGGCTTTTAAAGACTATGGTCTTAAACTTTTGATCAGCTGAAAAAATATTGTTTGAGTGTAAATGCAGTTTTCAGAAAATTCTCTGCTCAAAAGTTCTTGTCTCTTGCACTGATTTTTTCCTTTAACATTGTGAAGCTCTACTTTGAAACCTGCTTAAGATCCAAAAATGCAAAATGCAAATTCTTGCAATTTTTTGACTGGTCTTAAGATTTTGATCAGGAGTGTAATATACCCTTAGCATCATAATGCCACCACTGTGCTTGACAGTCAGTGAAATGTTTTGGGGTTTAACATCCTTACTTTGTCTCCTTTGATCATTCTTTCAGTCCCTGAGGAAGATATCTTGATGTTTAACTTATCTAACCATTAAAGCTACAGTGTGTAATAATTACAGGGATATACAGTCAGAAATGTAATATATTATACATAACTATGTTATTTATCATCATCTACGAGCTCAGCCTCTTAACCTTAATATTTGCGTTGCCTTAGAATTTGTTATTTATAATTACATAGGAGCGGGTCTCGCAGCCATGGAGGCAGACATCTTTGCGCTATGGCAGCGCAGAGCCAACAAACTAGCGATTGCGAGATCGCCCATTACGCTCGAAAGTAACTACGGCAAGTTGAGAGAGATGAACTGAGACGGTACTGAAATCTATACCCTACACAGACTAATGAAATACTATCTGTAAAATTATCTATGTAAACAAACCTCATCACTTGAGAAGGTAGGTGATGCGGACGTCGTGGAAGACATTTTGTCCCGTAACGCTCGCCGTACTGTTGGGGGGGAGATGTTCATGTTGCTGCGGTCTGCAGTCTGGATGCTAGATGTCACTGAAAATTACACACTGTAGCTTTAAGTTGTTTTTTTTTTTCTCCAGAGAACATTTGAGTCCCAGAAGTTACCAGTTCAATTTAAGTCAGTTTAAGGCTCCAGTTTGTTCATACTGGGGTGGTTGGGCAATATCAATGTCTTTCACGGGGCCCCAAATTTCCTGGCAGCCCCCCTGCTTGTGCATGTACATTTTTTTTTAAAGTGGAGTCCACAATACCTTTATTAAGTACAATTTATCATCAAGATAATGGTCAAGGATTCAGTTTTTATGTAAAAGTATTTAAAATTGCAGTTTTGACTCTTCTCTGTAATGGTCATGATGTTCTAATTCAAAATAATTGCAGAACCACAGCTGGTGCTATAGGGTTAAATGTTTCCAAACATCTCACTAAGCCTTTAGGGCTGATATCAATAGCCTTGAAGCAATCCTCCGACAACTTTAATGACAGTTGAAAATAATTTTGAATAATCCTAAAACACAACATAATCTTCATTATGTTCTCTAATTTCATTAGAGGGGCTATGTTGGGATCTGGAGATCTGCCACCTGTCGCCAGCAGAGAGCGCTGTGGGATTCCTGAGCTGGAGGTCTCAGCACACCTGGGAGTCATCAGCTCATCAGAAGACCACACTACTTAAGCAGCAGTCAGACCTTCCTTCAACGCCGCAGTGTTTGACCAAGTTTGAAAAAGCGGACTGAGGTCTGAAGCTCTGGAGGAGCTTAACCTGGAAGATTGCCTGCCTGCCCAAGTAAGCCAAACCTGAAGATCTCAGCCTGGACTCCAATCAGCTCTCTGGGAAGAGCTAGGAAACAACTCAGATCCGTCAATCCCTAGCTAGAAGCTAGACGCTGCTGCTGCTGAACTCTCTGTGGTCCCTCTATCTCTGGACCCAACCGGTTCCCCCTCTCAAGGATCTATCAGAACCTCTTCAAGGTATCATCTGTATTCAACTCACCAGTCCAGCCATATAAGTCCCTGGCTAACCAAACTCTCATCTCCTTCAGATAACTGTGAGACCTGTCCTGGACCAGCACCTGAACCAGTATTATTAACTCTGTGTGTTCTTCTCCAAATAAACATTGTTAAACTTCCCTCTGTCTCCGTTAGTGTTCTGCATGTGTGTTTAACCTAGTGAACCGACTATGACAGGCTATAGGCAGAATAAAGCACTGTGACCCCAGGCAGAAAAAATAGAGCATGTTGACAATAGATGACTAACATCACATTATCATATCTGCAGAACGAGGCAGCCATTTGTGATGCATGGTTCTTTAAATAAATAAAAAGACATCTGCTGAACATTTTCATGCGAATAATCCCTTATCCAATTTGCAGCAGTTGCTCATTTTATTGTAATTGTTAATATGTAAAGAAGTGTGCAGGATAAGCTTACATAATAAGACAGTAATAAATGGTCTTCATTCTGCTTTTTATTTTTTTGTCCAATAGGAAGAACAAAAAAACCACATACATGTTACATGTGTTTACCCTTTTTTATTTAAAAACAACACCTACAGAAAAAAAATGACCCACACCTTGATAATAATATAACAATACCTTAATAATAAAATTTTAAAGGTATTGTGGAGGATTTTCTCGACTTTTTTAAACTACCTATGAGAGAATGCAGAAGCCCCTTTCTCCTTGTGCAAACTCTGTTTAAAGGTTGCAGTCCTCATAGCTCATACAAGCTTACTGTGTCGCAATGTCCGCTCGAACCACTAAATCCCTCAATCACTATATAGAGCGGAGACTATATAGTGGACTTTATAGCAAACTCAGTCAACTTACCGTTCGGACACATGATCACTGCTTTTTACTCCCCCCTGGTCTCGTAACTCCTCCTCCACCGCATGGTGCCTGTGCCATCTTTGTTATGAGTCGCTGCTGTCGGGCAGCAGCAGCCTATGGTGAAAATGGGCCGCTATGACAGCAAATCCCAGAATGCATTTTGGGATATATCTGCCCCTTCTGAGGCCTTTCTTTTCTTCTCATACAACACATAGACGTTTTTTCTCTTACGGCCCTCGGCCATTTTCAAAGAACCGCGGTGAGAAAGGTGAGCTTCAATGAGGATCTGAAATCGTAGCTCACCATAAATATATGCCTGAAACTGCGCATGCACAGAAAAATATAGCTAACGGGACAAGCTTGTAGAACGGTCTTACGTAAACCTATCACCAGAATGATTGACAATTAGGAGTACAGCTTATTTAGAAGATCTGGAAATAAAAGATTATCCTTTATAAGAAAAGCACCATTTAATTTTAAAATGATGGCCTTTCTGGACACAATGTAATTATTAGGTCTGAGAGTGTGTATAAAAAGTCATGTGTTGGGTGGCTGATACTGACCCACCATATCACTTCCAGCTGCAAAATTTCTGGTGTCTTGATATATTATATATGTTTATCAAATTCTTTTAGGATTTTTAATTGTTTTTGGTATATTTTTAGTCAATGTCAAGTGACTGTCAGGCAGAGTTGGCTGGGGACATACAGATTTTAGTCAAAGTAGAGTAAAATGTATTTTTAATATCTCTCAATGGATATTTAGCCTTTTAAGTTGGTTAAAAGTTATAAGATCACCAAGCCAGATACATGCATTTGGTGGATTTTAGGACTTTCTACCCTCTCTTGGACCCATGTGATACTTATATAGCATGATTGATTGTTTTCTCATTAGTCTTCAGTTAAAGAGAGAAAAAAAATGTTTGAAACTGGCCCGCCTTTTTTTCAAAAGCAGGCATCATTATTTTGTGACCATAGCTCACTGAAAGTCATAAAGAGGTGCAGTGGTGTATCAAACTGAGGGAGACAGTTTTATCTCCAGGTTGTTTCAACGTCTTTAAATCCTCCTGTCTTGTCAGACTTCCCTGCAGTGACATCAACGCTCTTCATCCATCATGAGCGCCACGTTAGACGTTCATCCTGTCGAGTTTTCAGTCCAGTGCCTGTGTGTCCGTCCCAGTTGATTGGCCGCCACTCACAGCTTCCTTTTCTGTCTCTGTAAATGACTTCACTTGCACTGTCATCTCTCTGCAGGGGCTCATTCATGAATATGGATGAAGAAGACTGAGTCGTGCTACAGAAAGAAATGCAGGTGAAGCTTAGATGTGTTTTTATTTCCTCTTGCTCTTTATTTGGTCAGGGCCCTGTCACACATTGCCGATTTAGCCAGTGTATGTAGCATAATGCCCATGAAATGATGCACAAGCCAGTGTCCTGAGGGGGGCAGCACTGTGCCTGGAGGCGCCCGTCCTGCATGAAAACATGTCTTTGATCGCAGTATTAAGCTAGCGGATGTTTACTGCCCACCAAAAAAAAACATAAATAAATAAAAAGAAAAAGAAAGAAAGAAGGTTCGCAGTCGCAGTAGATACATACATACACTGGTACATACACATACACTGGTCTAAATCATCATGGCGTGACAGGGGGCTTTACGTGTTATTTCTGTTGCTTTACATTATGATACATATCTGGCTTGAGTTTGAAAGCTGACTTATTGTCTGTTGGTTTTGTGAAAATATAGAGAAAATATAACTTTCACTATGAAATAAAGACATATATCACCCTTAGAATTTGTCTTTTAATGACTTTGGTCATTACCTTGACTTTTCTGACAATCATGGTTGAATGAATATATAGGATGCCATTTCTAAGAGCAGATTGAGGTAGCTTATAGAGTGAAATTAATAAGATTCATTTATATAACGTCAATTTGCAAAAAATATTATATGGTAAACGATAAAAAACTACAGCTTAGACACAGAAATGTAAAATATGTTTTAACCCATAGACTGATTTAAAGTCATTTACAGACAAGTTCATGTCATGCAATGAGTCACTGACATAAAGCTCATAATGGATTATGTAGATCTGCATGTTGAGGTAAAAGTTTTGAAAAAGAATACCTACCTGTGAGTAGGCGATTTCTCCCCTCCTCACTGTTTTTAAAAGACTAATTGCTTGTGGATGATTGTGGACATTTATGAATGCGAGTTGCCTGACGAACTATGCGCACACACACACCTGCTCAATCGCTCCGCACAGTTTGCCCTGAGTGTGCAGCGGGACACGCGCTGCCCTCTTACGAACAGAGACAATTGTTTACCTGTCGCAGTTTACTGATTGAAACACCAGCACTGAAGTTAGCGCTGGCTGCGCTAACTGTAGCAAACCAGTCCCCACAGTTTCCCCTGAAACATCTCCTGCATGCGGGTGAGGTACCCACTCGTAATGTAGCACTACACACACCATCACCGTTCCTAGCACTGATTCATTCATTACAAACAAAACGCCATACTTACCTCGTGTCCTTCACCTTGAGTCTCCACTTCCAAACGGAAGCATGCGCCGTTTGGATTGTTTACAATGCCATCGGGTTTGGGGAATGTGAGTGTAATGGGGGGGGGGGGGTGGGGGGGTATGGAAGGATGCTTTGTTTTACCATATGTCAAGGGAATGTGCTATGTGCTTTACAGGTAGCATGGTTAAGATGAGTGGGATGTTTATAATTCTTGTTGTTGTTTGGGTGGTGTGTTTGATAACTTAAACCATATTTGTATGCATGTGGGATAATGGTATGGCCCAATTATCCATAATCTTGTTAGCCAATCGCGTTTGTTTCAAGCTTAGTAAGAGGAGGATAAAAACCCTGCTCATGGTGAGTTTGGTTTTTTGGGTGTAGAGCTGGTTACCGGGGAGAGCTCTAAAAGTAAGTGTTCATGTTTAATTGCGGCCTAGTGAAATCTGAAACCTTATTTTTTGATTAAGTGCCTAATTCTTGCCTTTTTTCTGTTTTTGGATTATTTTTGGACTTTTGTTATATTTTGTCATTTTGGAGGTTTTTGCTTATTTTTTTATTATGATGGAGAACTAACTTTTGGCACTGGTGAATAAATAAACTGGCAATTTTTGAAATCTATTTTTGCATTCCTGATCCCTTTTTATCCTTGTTTCCTTGACTCCAACCGCAACGCTGTCCTGGCGAGTGCGGTGACCACCCCGGTCACCCACATTTGGTGTCAGAAGTGGGATCGACGCTGACAGAAATTGGAGTCATAAGGAAAGTGGTAATTGGCTTGAGATGGCGTATCGTAGGCTGAAGAAGGATGACAAAGCTGCAGAACCAGCAGAGGACCAGGAGGACGCTCGAGGAGAAGATGGGGACCACACTCAAGGGTCTGAGCTGGCGGCACTGCGTAAGCTCCTGGAGAGGTCACTGGAGAGCCAGCAGAAGGAGGCCATGAAACAGGAACAGCGCTGGAGGGGCATCCAGGTCCAGCTGAATCAGCTCCGCGACGACTTCGAGGGAGAGAAGCAGACGGTGTCCACGGCAATGGCAGCGGCGGTCCAGGCAGCATCAGCGGCGACAGGGGGCCAACCTGCAGCGGCGGCGGCGGCGACAGGGGGCCAACCTGCAGCGGCGGCGGCAGGGGGCCAACCTGCAACGGCGGCGGCGGCGACAGGGGGCCAACCTGCAGCGGCGGCAGCGGCGGCAGCGGCGGCGGCGGCGACAGGGGGCCAACCTGCAACGGCGGCAGCAGCGGTGGCGACAGTGGGTCAAATGCCACCACCAGTAGCAGCAGCACCACCCCGGTCACCCACACTACCATTTATTAATTTATATTTTACAAATGAGAGCTCAGAAGTGTTGTATGCAAAGTTTTTGACCTCATTTGTTCTAATCCCCTTACATAAAGGTGCAATGCTTTGAGATTATGTTTATCTCAATATAAATACATCTATCTATTGAAGGAATTGAAATAAAGTTTGAAGTTACAGCTGAAATATATGCCATCATTCCAGTATCAGCATGTCAATTTAACTCTACAGAGACTTAAGCACTATTTTGTGTAGGATGGAAAGGGATGCATTAACTCTCCAACAGGATTCAGGCACTTCTGGATTAGATGAAAGCACATTCATGTGTTAGAAAGGCATGCTTAAAGTCAAGACCAAAATAATATGTTGCAAAAACAAGACTTAAACATTCACTTTCACAGATATACTGTTTCAAATATTATTGAGCTTTGGGCAATTCTAATAAACCAACCTTGAAATATTCAGTCTATAGATTTGCTGAGTTAGTAGAGACAGACCCCAAGATTTGCATCAGTAGTTCAAGGTAGACAGGTTTAAGAGGTGTAACCCTATCTATCTAGTCTGGTGCTGTTCCCCAGTGTCTCAGGTTGCATGGGATACCAGTGCACTGTTGTTCTCTATTTTCACTCAAAAAGCAGGATTTCATGAGGGAAAAACAGTATACCGGTATGTACCTAAATGCAGTTCACTAGCTTTTCTTCAGGCTACACTATAATGAACACATCCCTAGAATAAGAAACAAATAAGAATCAAAGTTATAAAGTGCTATATGCTGGTGAGGATTCTCAGTCATCCAGGTCATCCAGGTCATAGTCAGTTGTATTTTTTAAAACTGTTTTTGGAAAGAATTTAAGTGCGGCAATCAAAAACTAGCCTCTTTTAACCGCTCATTTTAACTTCAAAATTTCCACATAAAATAAAAATTAATCAACTTCATAAAAGCAAAAGATAATGGAAGTTTAAAGATACAAGATATCTTAAGTGGAAAAGATACAAAGATAGAGGCCACAGTGGTGTTACAGGAGTTTGCCCTGCAACTGGAGGGTTGTCGGTTCAAACCACGACTGAGGTTTTCAGTGTTGTGTCCTTGGACAAGACACTTCACCTACATTGTCTACTGATGGTGGTCAGAGGGACTGGTGGCAGAATGTAGTGTAAAGTGTTTGGTCAAGTCCTCTGACTAGAAAAAGAGCTATATTAGGAAAGGCCATTTACCATACAGCATAATTGAGTCGAATAACATTTAGAATTTTGTTTGTAAAAAAAAAAATGAAACCTAGATGTCTTTCTTTTCTACTTTACACTTATGCACCACCTTCTTTTGGTCTGTAACATGTAGATACATGAAGAAAATGTTGTATTATTTTTTTAAACTCAGTTTGGGAAAATGTCTAGCAGTGTGGTCTAAGCATGAATGCATTTAAATGTTTCTGCTTAATCTTCTTATTCTACAAACAAATGCAATTTTTAAGAGTGATGCATCAGAATAACAAATAAAGATGAAGAAAAGACAGTCTAAACATTTCCTTTTGTTATAAAGTTAAGAGCTTTTCCTTGAACTTCATACATTTTAGCCACCCTTCACATGAAAATAGGCTATCACAGTGAAGAGTCATTTTTAAAACAAAACTGTTGGACATTTGGGGAATCAGGAAGCAGACGTTATGTTTTTTTTGTGTATAACAAAGTGTTGTCAGAAAGACAAGGATAAGTAGAAATAGTCCCTGCTCTAGTAGTGAAGGCACTGGTTACATCTGTTCTGTATTGTGTATTTTTCTCTCTTGTAGGAGAATCCATGGCTCATATATGAAATGCTAAAATGATTCAATACAGTTAACTGGTAACAATGAATTTGTTAATCTAAAAACATGAATGTGCTAAATCACATTTTTTTTACCCCAAAGCAAAAATACATATTTCTTTTTAACAACAGGGCAATCATATATTCCACTCGGTTTTGACCACACAATGTGTTTTTCCATTAGTCCTCCTACTGCCATCGCAGGCGAGCACCAAACAGAGTCACTGTCACTCCCTCCATTCAACATAGAAAAAACTGTCTCAACCCGAGGTGAAGGTGAGAGCATTAGTGTGCGAGGGCCGTTGCAGCCTGTGATTCAGCTGTGAGCAGGCAGGACTTCAGCCAGCTGAGCCTGGTCAGAGGGAACAAAGCAAGAGGAAATTGGGAATGAATTTTTAAAAACTACAATGTTTTATATCTAAAAGCAACTCTTTGTTGTTTGTGACGCAGAGGAACAATGATTATGACCTTGTTGATTCAAACAATGATTTAATAGAAAGTATGCAATTAGTTTTGGTAGCAATATGTAATACACCACATGACAAATACTCTGTTTTCACGCTGTGTATAACAAAAACTCTACAGTTTTGTACCAATAGAAAGGTATTTTAAGAAATTTTGCATGTATTTCAGAGTAATTACCAATACCTGTCTATATGGTACCTGTCTACTATTAAGGTAATAACTTTCAGTTTTAGTCCTTTATGGATAGGTTTCCTTCAAACATTATCCATGAGCAACAAATGTTAGAGTAAATAAGAATATATTTTCTTAAACTTATATAAAATAAAGTGTTTTATTGTTCACATTTTAGGGACATGTCAAAATAAAATGGTTATCTCCTTTTCATATATAATTTCTCATTATATTTATTTAAAAGACATGCTGACAGTTCCCCCATATCTGTTTACACAGTGTTCCTTATGCTCTCTCAGCAAATTTTTAAAAGTTTAGCGTCTAGCTCAGTAAAATGTGCATCCTTAAAGCCCCTCTTTAGCTTTGGTATGGCAGTTTGGTTCTACACAGCAAAGATGTGCTTTTAACTGCTGCAGGCGGTTGGCAGAAATAAGTGGTAGGACATGACACACATGGTGCACTACAATTGAAATACATCATGTTGACAGCAATCATATTGACAGCCAACCTGATTTTCTGTCTTTAAGGTCTGGGAGAGCAGTGTGCCAGCTGTGGTGGAGCCAGTCAACTGTCATCTTTCATGCACAGCAACTGCATACTCTCAGAAAGGTCTTAATGCACTCCTCTCTGATCCTTGACGGCCAACAATATGTAAAATTATTGCAAATTTTTTTAATGCATGATTAACTTTTAAATGGTTTTAATACACATAAATCTTTGTGACCAGCTCAAGCATTTCTAGGTGCAAACAAATTAAATTTTCTTATAGGTTTGCCAGCAAGTGTTTATACAAGCAACATCTTTTTGAAAGGCTTTGGTGAGAGCTGGCAAACAGGAAATTCACTTATTAACCACCAATGAGTTCTTATATAGAATTGGGATTCATTGTTTATAGTTAAATAATATCTACCAAATACTACAAATATCTTCCCAAACAAAAAGAAGAAAGGCAACAACGGTGGAATATGCCTTGGAAAAATTATTAACATAATCATTTATAGAAAACGCCTTCCAGTTGTTGCTGTAGAGAGACAGTTTGTTATTTGTAAAAGAATAATCTAGGGTGTTCTATGAAGATTGGTGATATTTATGATAGTTTTGTTTCTTCTTCACAATGTGCTTAGAAAACTCCATTGTTACCTAAATATTGCATGTATTGTTCTCTCAGTGGAAGGGGGCTAATGGCTGTGGAGAAGCATTCTTATTTCTATTACTCATACTGTATAAGCTGGTAACTGTGAGGTTTCCATTTGAAGTTTAAATACAATATATCTTTGCTACACTGTCAAATAGGAGATCTTTTATTTATGGGAGCAATATTGTTGCAAAATAACCCGGTTTGCAAATCTGCATTCAGATCTACAAATGTGTACTAAGATTTGCAAATGTGTAGATCAATCTGTAAGCATACACAAAGGCAATTATGTCTGAAGCATTTTTGCTTCAACACCCAGAAATAAAGACAACTTACTGGTTACAGGTCAAGCGTTTTCTCAGTTGGCTCTCTTTAGACATGAGATTTTTGCAACACTTCTGCCTTAACAAAAATCCCGGAAACACGTTCCTCCAAATTTTTGTATCTTTCTAGTTGAATTATCTTCTATGAACTGTAAGAAAATTTACACTTTGAATTTGGACTCCAACTTCAAACTCTTTTTTTTTTTACCTAAATGACCACCCGCTGTCATTTGTAGTGATCATCTGCTTATTGTTCTTGGCTTCCTTTATCTTATATATTTTTGCCAATATAGTTCTGAAGAAAAAATACAAAAACACACCAAGCTAATGCTAAGCTAATTTTAATAACAGAACTCACCACTGAGTCAAGTGGAACCCAAAATTAAAGTACGCATAGTATTCAGTGTGTTTATGAAACATACATTTTAAAGACTATAACACACTCATTTGATTACAACTGAAATAATTTTTTTCTAAATTTTCTCTTAAATGCAACACATCAAGGGAAGTAGTGTCATGATCTGCACTGATAGCTCACCTTAATTGTTCATTTCACTCAACTGCCTAACTCTGCCCGGTCTCTAATCGCTCCTCATCCTATCCACCTTCTGCTTTATGCCTCATGATGGGTCTAATATCTTTTTTTGCCCCCATGCAGAAAACACTCACAGAGAGATAGTCAAAGTATGAAAGTTTATTTTTCTTATTCTTGAACAAGGAGACTGAAAACAGGTTAACTGGTTATCTCAGCTTGGTGGGTCCAGCAACCAGGAAACCTGGAGCGTCTACACAAAGGAGAGAGTGATTGATGAGTTCAAGGTTGGTGGGAAAAAATGCAGATGACTGAAGCTCTGATTTAGCAAGGACTCACTGTTAGAGTTAGTCTGAGGCCTTGGGTTCCTGTTTGTGTAGGCTTTGATTGATTGAAGGTGGAGGTGTCGTTGGAGGGCAGACAGGCTGGCTTATGGTGGAACAGAGGAGCAGTGGAGCAGACTGTCAACTGGAAAACTTGAAAAGGTAGGTGTATAGAAAAGGTGAGCAGTGTAACTCTCAGCGTC